TAAGTTTCACTTTACAATACAGCCAAATAAGACCATTAGCATTGTCATCGATCATGCATCAATCTAATTCTAAATACTTGATAACTTTGAATACTTTTGACTAAATTTAGTCAAGTAACAAAGACAAATAATGTCTACTTTAATAGTGAACAGATCGCGATTGTGTTCAATCTGAGCACACAGGCGATCATGACAGGACTTGCAGTTCATTTAAAAAAAGCTTATTTAAGAGCTCGCATATCTGTTTTAGTGATTTGCGTACATGAATGCGCTCTCTCGTGTTAAAATAAAGCACTCGCCACATTTCCAGAAATGAGTAATTGCGCAATACCTCTATTCCCGCGCCGCCATTCAGACAGTATAGAGGAGTGACAGGTCAGAGGCGAGTCGACTCGCTGTTGGAGAGCGAAACGTGTATGTAGATCATCAAATAGGCAGGAAATATGTCCGCGGTTTAATCACTCTGCAAGACATCTCGATAGTGAAAACATCCGAGAAGCATTATTCCAACAAAACATTTGTTTTTAAGTTGTTTTTTCTGTCTCTGCGACTCAGAAAGCCTTTGTCCCGCCCTTACGTTTCACGCAAAAACACACACACAAAAAAAGGTCGACTGTGATTGGCCAGTTTTCATGTCAGTCAAATCACGCTTCAGAATCACTTCGGAAACTGATTTTCAGCAGCTTATGACAAATTGCACTAAAATAAACATTCTAAGCACAGCGCTGTGATCGTACGCTTCACAAAAATGCCAAAGCTGATCACATCGATAATATAGTTCAAAGGATTAAAAATGTTAATTGTTTATTTAATTATTTGGCGATTCCTCCGCGTACCACTAGGAGGAAGCCCGCGTACCACTAGTGGTACGCGTACCACAGTTTGAGAACCACTGACATAGATGTTACTCCAGGATCATCGCATCATACTCGGCAAAATCATGACGTGCATTGCACCTATCCCAGTCGCTGCAAAACCCCAACCATAGATGAAACATATCTGCCTGGACCACCAGATATCATCAATCTCCAGCTCCTTTAGATTCACTCTTGTACCTGTTCTCCAGCAGGTCCCTTAGGGCTCACACTCAAAAGCCGAGCGCTGCTTTTATTCCTGCACTGACACATTTTATATTGGATGGGACATACTGAATGTGCTTCTCTTTAATTCTGAAGACAGCTAGCTCCGAGCATTTAGCTATTGTACCTTGGGACAAGCAGTTTATGATTAGGCTATCAGTGTTAGCCGTGAAGAGATCGCACATTGTGTATGAGTACGTCTATTACAAGTTGTTTTGTTTGGTCAAGTTGTAGGAGCACATTAGCATATAGATGACCTGACAAACACCAAGTGAAGGCCAAAAATTTAGATTTGGCCACCAAACATGCTTCTGGAGGGCTGACTAACTCATGAATATGGATGAGGCGCTTCATAAAGGAGATTGATAGACATTAGCAAATGAAGATTACCCACAGCTGTCTTGATTTCTAAAGAGGACGGAATTTATTTGCTTTATTTCGCCTTTTTCGCCGCTCTTCCACACCCACGAAACCGTCACAGAGAATCTATCACATAATCCCATATACAGTGAGACACAGATCCTCCTTATTGGAGCAAACAGATGCAGTGCCCGCGGCTGCAGCTGCCCACACACTGCTAAAGCGCACACGCGCGCTCCGCTTTCCTCAGGGCTGAGCGCGGGAGACTCCATATGCACTCAGCAGAGCATTAAAGCTTTACTTGAGTGAATAGCGCTCTTTAAACGTGCCTCTTATACTGCAGGAAGCTTCTGGATGTGAGATCACATGGATAGATCAAACTTTTCATGCCTGCTGCTTCTCGTTTTTCTCATTTACAGTAGTGTGAAAAAGTATTTGCCCCCTTGCTGATCTCGCTTTTTTAACATGTTTGTCACTTTAATCTTCAGATATTCAAATTTTAAACACTATGGAGTTTTTAAATGAAGGGTTTTTTTTTATTATTAAGGGATCCAAAACTACATAGCCCTGTGTGAAAAAATATTTACCCCCTAAACATAATCAGCAATCAAGCTTTTCTGATAACTTGCATTGAGTCTGTTACAGTGCAGTGGAGGAATTTTAGGATGTTTTATGAGCATGAACCGCCTTTTTAAGGTCATGGCACAGCATCTTAACAGGATTCAGGTCAGGACTTTGACTAGGCCACTCCAATGTTTTCATTTTGTGTTTCTTCAGCCGTTCACTTGCTAGTGTGCAAAACTGGTGTAATGTTTAAATGAGCGTTTTTATTATTAAGGGAAAAATCTAAATACAAAACTACGTAGCCTTGCGTGAAAACGGTCCCTCTGAAGAATATTTTCTGGCCATCTGCTAGTGACCTCAAGGTGAAGCGAAGTTGGGTTCTGCGGCTGGAAAATGATCCAAAGCACGCCAGCAAGTCCACTTTTGAATGGCTGAGAAAAGCAAAATGAAAACCCTGTAGTGGCCTAATCAAAGTCCTGACCCGAATCCAATTAGGATGTTGTGACATGACCTTAAAAATATGCTTGATGCTCGAAAACCCTCCAATGTGGCTGAATTACAATGTTTCTGTAATGAGTGGGCCAAAACTCCTACAAGACGCTGTAGCAGACTCAATGCAAGTTATTGAAAATGATCAGTAATTTCTGATTAGGTTTAGGAGGCTGATTAGGTTTTGATGCATGTGCTTGTGTTATCTTTGACAACTATTTAAATTTGTTTAATGATCTGAAACATTAGTGTGTGACAAACATGCAAATTAAAATGAAAAAGGAAATGAAACAAACACTTTTTTAAGCTTTATAATTTATTTCTAGCTGTTAACATATCAAGTAATACAATATATTACTTGGATAGCTAATGGAAATCATTAAAATTTGTATTTTATCACGAAAAATAGGTAACACATCAGTTTAAGTACCAAATAAGTACCAATCATTATTGACTAGTGACCCAATGCCTAAACCCAAGGACTACCTTAATAACTATTGATAAGTAGAACATTAGTAGGTTTAGGCCTACAGTTAATGAATTGTTATAAAGTGTGATCAAAATAAGCTTTGCTTATCAAATCAAATCACTTTTATTGTCTCATAAACAGCAGCACGTGTGCTATGATAAGGGAAAAGCTTAGGTGCTCACTCCAGACAGTGCAAAATACAGACAACATACTACCAAAAAACAAGAATAAATACAAAAAAAAACAAGATAATATACAATTAGCAGTGTTGACAGTAAAACGTAGAACACAATGAATAGGTGTACACATAGTCTGACTGTTGGTGGTAAATTATTGTAGGCAATTTATTGTACAAGTACTTATTACAGAAATAATATAGTTTAAAAGATATCTTAAGTGAAAACTGAATGTTATGCCATTTAGCTGGAATTTGGAGTCGCTTTCGACCCACTTGAAGCATAATTTTTATTTAATATTGATTTCATAGTAACTTCTTTTGTCTTTAAATATGCTTACATCATTCTCCCAAATATTCCGATGAGCTTTTATGGTAAAAGAAACATACTTCAATGTAAATTCGGTCCCACTTTATATTAAGTGCCCTTAACTAATATGTACTTACACAGGAATTAATATAGTAATAATTATAATAATTTGTTACAATGTACTTATTGTGTAAATACATGTATTTACTTGTACTTATGCTTGATTAAATACATTTAATCACATCTGTAGTTAACTTTTGTAATTACGTTTGTAAATACACTGTTGACCATCCCTTACACCTTAACCCACCCTTAAACCTACCCACACCACCAAACCTGTCCATAACCCAACCTATATCCCAACTCAAAAGCACCACAAGCGTTCTCAAATACATTATAAACACAGTTAGTACATTGTATTTATTTGTTTTATGTTAGTACATAGTAGTTAAGGCCACTTAATATAAAGTGGGACCGTAAATTGGAACTTATGTGTCATGTGTGAAAATATTGCACATTTTTAGTATATATATTTTTAAGTATATAACACACTTATTTATATATTTACTCATTATTTGTATTTATATAGTATTTTACATTAGCTTTAGTTTATTAGTTAATAAATTAAAATAACAATTTCTTATATATAATTAAATATATAATTTAAATATAATTAAGCATATAAATAATTAAGCATATAAAAACCAATACATTCGGATGCTGCGTTCACACCAAACGCTGAAAAAGCGCCAAGCGCGAGTGATTTACATGTTAAGTCAATGCAAAGCCGCAAATAGACATCCTGCGATGCGAATGAGGTGGCGTGAATGACGGATTCACTCAAATGAAGTGGCCCGAGTTGAGCGTTTTGCACGATTGACGCCTTTAATGCATGTTTCACAAGAATGGCTCGAGTTGGTAAATCCTGTTGTTGGTGTCCCAGGGGGAAATCCTCCTGCAGATACCGGACAACAGTTGATCAAACTGGGCTCAGCTCAGTCGGAAGCACCATCATCCAGGAGGAGTTTGTGAACTCACAGAGCTGGTGCACTTTTGAAAGGATCTAGTGGACTCAGACACAGCTCCAAACGAATCGACACTGGTTTTCAGCCTTCATAAAGCACATAAACACAGTAATTTTCTCAATAAAATCCATTAGCCATTTAGGAATGAAGCTAGAGTCACCGGGTAGAAAGAAGCCCTGTCAATGATGCAAACCCGTGTTTATTGTGAAGTAAAGTTGACACTCGTATGAAGCGAGTTCACGCGTCTGTTTACCGCACATATATCCACGCGTGCTGTGTCTGGTGTGAACACAGCATAATAGTTTAAATGAGTTGAAAATGAAATGTCTCTGTAATTACTCTTAAATTGCCTTTTTTTCACTAATATTATATTATCTGTAAGTACTTTTTAATATACTTTTGACACTTGAAAAAACTAATTCAAACGGCACACATTCTGCTGTATCCACTCAATTATGTTTGTGTTGTTTGTTGTGATGCTAGCATTATTATCTTGTGTATTTATGTTTGTTTATATGTGTACTTCCAGAATGGAAACCCAGATAACCCATACTGTAGCGGGATTGAGGGCGTTCTAGAGGCGTATTACCAGAGTCTGAAGTCTGTCCGACTTTACGGACCAACATACTTCTCGCCTGTCATTAATCATGTAGCAAGGTGAGCACAGTTATTATAAACATACCACTACACTATTTATTACACATTAGCATTGCAGCACATTACTTTCTATTTGAAAATCTCCAAAATGGACAAAACAGGTATAAAACAGCATGGAAAAGAATCAACAACATAAGGCTAACACAGATCTACATAAACAGTATAATGATAAATCAAACAAGGAACAGGTGAACACAATCTGAAACACTGTCGGTTGGGTTTAGAGAAGGGGTGGGTGGGTTAATCGGTGCTTTTGAAAACACTGTCGGTTGGGTTTAGGGAAGGGGTGGGTGGGTTAATCGGTGCTTTTGAAAACACTGTGGGTTGGGTTTAGGGAAGGGGTGGGTGGGTCAATCTGTGTTTTGATAACACTATCGGTTGGATTTAGAGAAGGGGTGGGTTAATCGGTGCTTTTGAAAACACTGTGGGTTGGGTTTAGAGAAGGGGTGGGTGGGTTAATCGGTGCTTTTGAAAACACTGTTGGTTGGGTTTAGAGAAGGGGTGGGTTGGTCAATCTGTGTTTTGAAAACACTATCGGTTGGGTTAAGGGAAGGGGTGGGTGGGTCAATCTTTGTTTTGAAAACACTATCGGTTGGGTTTAGAAAAAGGGTGGGTGGGTTAATCGGTGCTTTTGAAAACACTATCGGTTGGGTTTAGAAAAGGGGTGGGTGGGTCAATCTGTGTTTTGAAAACACTGTCGGTTGGGTTTAGGGAAGGGGTGGGTGGGTCAATCTGTGTTTTGAAAACACTATCGGTTGGGTTTAGAAAAGGGGTGGGTGGGTCAATCTGTGTTTTGAAAACACTATCGGTTGGGTTTAGAGAAGGAGTGGGTGGGTCAATCTGTGTTTTAAAAAAAACTCTATCGGTTGGGTTTAGAGAAGGAGTGGGTGGGTCAATCTGTGTTTTGAAAACACTATCGGTTGGGTTTAGAAAAGGGGTGGGTGGGTCAATCTGTGTTTTGAAAACACTATCGGTTGGGTTTAGGGAAAGGGTGTGTGGGTCAATCAGTGCTTTTGAAAACACTATCGGTTGGGTATTGGAAGAGGTTGGGCAAGTCAATCTGTCAGTCAGTCAGTCGATAGCGGTCTCTAGTGGATTTACGTGAGAACAGCAGGTGCGAATGGCACTCGTGGGAGAATTTTGATATCTGAAAAAGCTTACACAGCGGCCTCTGGCGTAATCAGGGGGTAAAAAACAGCCTAAAAAAAAAAAAATTTACCTTCTAGGACGTATTTCATGCTGTCCATAAAATAATACTGGTCTAGCTATCTAAAATGAGCCTGGGTTGGTAAATTGTATGATATTTCTTTCAAGTCATGAAAAAAAGGACAGTTTTCAATTAAATAACATGTACCATTGAACAAATCTTTACCATGAAAAAAAATTATTCATTGGATTTACTAAATATTTTTAAGGTAAGTGGTTGCAAACAACTAAAATAGGCTGAATGTAAAAATACAAATTAAATCAACGTAATATGCTTGTTTAAATTTAACACAAATATATTTTTGCAACCACTTGACTCAACCAATGACTCAATATTTCAGTGTAGGCTGAGCATTCAAAACAGATCAGACCTATAATACTGCTATGTCATTACACTCAGCTACCTCATTATTACAACTGATTTTAAGCAATACCCCCCCCCCACACCCCCACCCCACCCCAAAAACAAAATGTGGGTTCGCACTTGCCACAGATAGAATACCAATCAGGTACTTTTGATGTACTTTGGGACGCTGGGATAGATTGGATTTGAATTGGGATTCAGCCCGTGTGTCTTCTACGAGGACATGATGTGATCAGATTTGGTCTTTGCAGATATGCCTCTTTAGTGAAGGATGGTTCAGAATACTTCATCCTCCTCATCATCTCGGATGGGGTCATTTCCGACATGGCTCAGACAAAAGAATCCATCGTGAACGTAAGTACAAAAACCACAGCACTCTGCAATCTTGTTTAGCACTACGAAAAAGTATTGCTGTGTAAAAAGTAATCACATTCAAAATAAAAGTTTGTTCCGACATAATGTGTATCGTTATTATGTGCAGCTAAAGTCAAATTTATTCGCCCTCTGATTTATTTATTTATTTTATTTTATTATTATTTTTTTTTAATATTTCCCAAATGGTGTTGAACAGATTCAGGAATTTCTCACAGTATGTCTGATTATATTTTTTCTTCTAGAGAAAGTCTTATTTGTTTTATTTCGGCTAGAATAAAAGCAGTTTTAACTGTTTTAAACCCATTTTAAGGTCAATATTATTAGCCCCCTCAAGCAATATTAGCCTAAGTACCCTAACTTTACCCTAATTACCCTAGTAAAGCCTTTAAATGCCACTTTGATCTGAACACTAGTGTCTTTATATATAATTATATATATTATGTAAGTGTGATACAAAAAACAAATAACTCATTTCTAATAACTGATTTCTTTTCTCTTTGCCATGATGACAGTAAATAATATTAGACTAGATATCCTTCAAGACACTAGTGTCTGTGCGTATACGTATGCCCGGAGTCTGGTTCTCTCAAGGTTTTTTTTCTTCACTCTCCTATCGGTGAAGTTTTTTTCCCTCTCCGCTGTCGCCACTGGCTCGCATGGTTCAGGATTGGTAGAGCTACGCATCGATGAATTTGCTCTTCAGTGTTTGGACTCTCAGTAATGATTTTAAATCACACTGAACTGAGCTAAACTGAACTGAACTTAAACACTAAAAACTGAACTACACTGATCCAGTTACTATGACCATTTATGTGAAGCTGCTTTCACACAATCTACATTGTAAAAGCGCTATACAAATAAAGCTGAATTGAATTGATTATAAGCATAGAAATACTACACACAATGCTGCACACCAATAGGAACTATATAAACAAGCTTATTGACGACAAAAATAAAGTGCAGCAATCTATTTTTATAATCATTATTCATTTGTTTAATTTATTTTAATCTATTAAAATAAAACTATTCTTGGTTTAATTTTGGAGACACTTGGAGATCGTCCTCCTCGTTCAGTCGTGGCCTCTTTTTAATGTGTGTGAGTGTCATGAAGGTGTCAAAGTAACAATGTACTGTAAAATCAATCTGCCTAGTTACCCTAATTACCCTAGTGAAGCCTTTAAATGTCACTTTAAGCTGTATAGAAGTGTCTTGAAGAATATCTAGTCTAATATTATTTACTGTCATCATGGCAAAGATAAAATAAATTAATCAGTTATTAGAGATGAGTTATTAAAACTATTATGATTAGATATGTGCTAAAAAAATCTGCTCTCTGTTAAACAGAAATTTGGGATAAAAAGAAACGGGGCTAATAATTCTGACTTCAACTCATTTTTTAATAGACTTTAGGTTCAAATTTTTAAAAAAAATTCTCCGTTGAACAGAAATTGGGGGAAAAAATAAATCATGGGGGCGAGTAATTCAACTGTATATGAAGGGTTCAGATGCAAAAACCTCTAAGTGCCATCTGGAATTTTCCTCTAAAATGAGCATTTTTCTCTCCTCTTATATTTGTATTCAGTTATTTCATGTTAAAGGCACTGAAAGTAACATATTCTTTGCCATAACATTTAAATTACTGAACCTGCACATAAGAGCTTGAAAAAAAGGAGATATTTTAGGAGAAAATTTCAGACGCCGCTTACATTGACAAAATATTTAAATTTATCTAAATTCTGCAAAGTAAAACCCAAAAAGCCCATGCGAAAACTCAATCAGGTACATCACTATGGGATTCTGTGTAGTAATTAAGGGTTGAGTATAAAAATGCAGGACACTCGGATCATCATTTTTTAAAGTGCTATAAAAACGAACTAGTCTGTACGCCATTAGAGAACAATCCCGCTTATTATAGATCTGAACTCGACATGACATGCCGTTATCCTGCTATTGCGAGTCTATTCTGTGCGTGTTTCATTATTAAAGTGTTAAATGATGTGAGGGCTGTAGTCTTGGGGGTTTTGTTTTAATGAACTCTTCCCTTCTGTTCAAGGCCTCCAGTCTTCCCATGTCAATTATAATCGTTGGAGTCGGGCCGGCTGAGTTTGACGGTAAGATGAGAGAGCTGTATGTGATCAGATCAAAAGAGGAACCTGTTTCATTCATGTTCCAGAGAGACCAATCAGATCGTTATTAGTGGCGTGTTCGGTGTTATTATCTGAATTTCCCAATCAGTTCATTCCTCAAAGGGGAGCTGTTATGCAAAAATCACTTTTATAAGGGGTAAACATGTGTTAATTCTGTATTTTTATTATTACACTTGATCAAAACAGTCTGCAGAAGCACTTTGATTGACATTCTCCCTTTGTACATGTCATCAAAGGGGGAAAGCCCTGCCCACTAATGACAATCTCTCCCTCATTAGCATAAACAGCCCTGAGTGAGAAGCAGCCGTCCGCCATTAGCTGAAGATAATGTCAGCCACTAAGGCAGGGGTGTCCAAACTCAGTCCTGGAGGGCCGGTGTCCTGCATAGGATTTTGAATCTGCCACTATGCTGACACACAGGCATTAGTAGCTCCGCCCTCTTTTAAAAAAGAGCACAATCTCATTTGAATTTAAAGTGACAGTCACCAAAACACCACAATTACTGTACGCTCACACCTAAAGCGGCGAGAGCGTCACAGTAGCCGGAAGTCATTCGCCGGTGGCGAGGAGCAGCGCGGAGCATCTTCACCAGTGTGGGCATCGAGGAGAGTTGAAATCAAGTTAACTTTATGGTAATGAGCTGTGACGCGGTTCGGCGGCAACCAATCAGAATGCAGAAGTCCACCGCTTGAGCGGATTCCAGAGAACACAGTCACTGTGAACTTTGGTTCTGACCACAGTTGTTCCCAAGGGTTTGATTATTGCGGTCGCCGGATTTCCAATTATTTGCAATGTTTTCTTACAGGAACATACAATAAAAAGTTACTAGCGAGTTACTGATATGCATAATGTTATATATATTTTTATCTTTAATAAAAGCGGGAATCTCATCCAACAGTCTTGCTGCTTCAGGATATTTCAGACATATGGACACATGTAAAGTTTCACAAACTAATTTCGAGAGGAGCACGTGATAGTATTGACTACAGCTAATTCCTATCACTAATCACTAAGTGAGGTTTATTCATAAACTAATTTCGAGAGGATCACGTGCTTATGATTCATCACGGCCGGTCCCGTATTTTGCTAATCACTATCTTCCAATCATATGAGCCCTAAGCTACTATAAAGAACCTCAGTTTTCAGTCCACTTTATCTTCGTTTACAAGAAACTCCCCTTCCTCCCCCTTTATCATTGATCGGGCGGCATGGCGGCCCAGTGGTTAGCACTGCGAGCCCCACAGCAAGAACACTGCCGGCCCTGGTCCCTTAGGGCGGTGGGTGTTTCTGTGAGGAGTTTGTATGTTCTTGAAGTTATCGAGAACTACCTGATCTCGTATCCCTCCTAATGCTTATTGACCAGGCAGGAGCCTTGGGTTCATCTATCTCAGGCTTCTCTCCCGGAACAGCATGCCAAACCGGCTAAAATACTCAAGCATTATCTAAGTGTGAACTCTTGAATGGAGAATTAAGTGGAGCAAAGTCACACCCCATAAGAAGCGCGCAACATATTCACGCTAGAAAGCATGTTTTATAGGGGAATGTAACTGATATGATTTGCTGCAATGGCCCCTTTAAATACGAGATCAATGTAGCGAATTTTAACGCTCTCGCACCGGAGCTGAAGGGAGACAGCGTTGTCGCCAGGGAAGCCAGAGCAACCTTTGACGCTCTCACCGCCTTCAGTGTGAATGCACGGTTAGGATCAAAGCCTAAAAGGGTCAGTTTCAGAGTTATAATCATTATCTGTGTGATATTTTGAGCTGAAACTTCACACACACACACACACACACACTCTAGAGACTTATTTTACATCTTGTAAAAAGGGCCATAATAGATCCCCTTTAGCTACCAATTTCATCTGGGAATGAAAAGGAGAACTAGTTACTCATCTCAGCCTGCTATATTATACTTATTTGTTCCGTAATAATGCAGTTTCATGATTTATATGGACTTTTTACAAAAGTAAACCTCGCTGGCCTCGCAATTTGTTTAAAGGTTGATGCGATATTTTTTTTTTCCGCCTTTAACGAAGATAAAAGCTGATTAAAATGCAGCTCTCAGTGTCCTCGTTATCTCACAGCGCTCATGATTTGCTCTTTGAACTCATCTCAGAGCGGCTGCATTAAAGGGTGTTATTTGAACTCGTATGAGACGCAACGATAGCACACTTTACTATTACAATCTGAGCGGAGCCAAAGTGCCTCATGATCGTTTCTTCTGTGTCATTTTCGTCCATTTGGCAGAGATGATTGAACTAGACGGGGATGAGGTCAGGATATCATCCAGGGGTCGCTTCGCTGAAAGAGACATCGTGCAGGTGAGCTTTCCAACCCTGCGTCTCATGCATCTGCAGACAGAAATAAAGCAGAATGTCATATGATTTCGATGACTACTGACTCAACGTGTATAGCTAAAGCTTATAAGAATCAAGTTTATTATCATGTTTGTTCTTTTTATATCTTCTCTTTTCAATTTAATTTTAAATAGGCCAACATATTGCACCTTTAAGGCTACTGCTAGATCCCTCTGCAATGCTCATGAGAAACTGATCACTGAGGATGTTGCCAGTTACATTGACGTTTATACATTTTGCAGACGCTTTAATCTAAAATGACTTGCATTGCATTGCATTGATGGACCACATTTTATTGGTTCTTGCTTTCCCTAGGAGTCAAACCCACTACTTTGCTGTTTCAAGCACCATTCTCTACTATCTAACCTACAGGAAGGCCTAGATTTAGACCGGCTGACTAAAAAACTGGCAAAGGCTCATAACAGATTGAATTATTGCTTCCTCTTGTGTCATCCATAATCCAGAGATCATGGCAGAACCCGTATCAAGTTCTTGCTTACGAAGATGTTATCACTGGATTGAATGGGCTTTATCAGTGGTTATCAGCTGATAGATATGGGCCAGTAGGGGCCTTTTGCGTCTACTGGTAGGCTTAGAAGGCTGTAATCATCCATCAACATGGTTAATCAGCTATATTTATACAGAAGACTCCAGATATGTTTTTACGTTACTTTGATGGTTGGGTTTAGGGTCGGGGTGGGGGTAGACGTTAATAAAAAACAATTAATGGGAAATTTTATAAATAATATAAATAATTCTTGTTAACTTTAAGCCACAGCCGTATGTGATCTATAGCTGATTAACCATGTAGTTGGTTGATTACAACCTTCTGAGCCTATCAGTAAGCGCAGAAGGCCTCTACTGGCCCATATCTGTCAGCTGATAACCACTGATAACAACCATTCAATCCAGTGATAGCATTCGAATTGGCTGAAGATTAGAAGATTTTGAATCTGACAAATGTGTACAATATGATGCCCCAGACGGAGGATGCATTAGTATGTTTGGATACTGTGGCATTGCCCTCAAAGCCCTGTAGGGTCACTTTAATTCTGGTGGGCAGAACTCATGTAGTGCCATATTAAGCTTGTAGGGGATCTCTGCACCCCGTGATGATGCTGCAAGCTGGAAGCAGAGAACTAGCTCCACCAAGCAAATGGCGCCTGTAAACACACATTCAGTGGGTAGTAATTTAATTCATCAGGAATAATGAAGACACCTTGACTTTTTGGTTACACAATAATGATCATCCAGAGGTTACGAGATGCCAGAAAGAAATCTGTGGCATTCCAGTTCCATTCCTTTGAATCTACATATCTTTAGACTTTACATAAGGCCATTTCTTGGGCCCGTTTCCACTGAGTGATATGGTAAAGTAGAGTACAGTACAGTTCGTTGCGCTTTTATGGCCCTTTCCACTATCGAAAAGTACTAAAAAGCAAACCGTACCGTACCACTTTTTGCGTACCCTTTCCAAAGGGCTTTTTCCAGAGAGCTCACGTGATTATTGAAGTGCTTCTGACATCCAGTGTTTTCAGAAACGGACAAACTCTCTCGGCTTCCTCTGCCATCGTTCTTCCTTTTATCGTCTAGAGCTCCTTCCGTGGGATCCGCGGCAGGTGCGCACCGCAGGTGTATTCACTTACGCGGTGTCCTCACTCCGTTCCCACGGCTTTCAACCACACCCCCTCGCCACAATTATGAACTCGTATTGACTGAATTCCTCTCAAACAGAGCTTACTTGTGCTGCTGAAGATTAAAGATGCAGATGAGAGGTTTGCTCTGACTGTGCGCTGTATGTTGCGTGTTGTTTTTGAAGCCAAATAAGGACTAAATGTCTGCTGTGTGTAGTTTTTCTGTAATTGGTAACAGATTCGAGACTCTAAGGGACTGTATGTGTTTCACACTGTCATTGATCTACAGTTATAATCAAATCATGTTGATAGTAAGGTTAGTAATGAACATTTATACAGTATTTATGTGTATGAGCATGTTTTGTGAGAGGTGCTTCTCATATGATATGTGAACGACTAGTAGTTTTACTTCCTCGAGCGAAAATTACATCGACTGAAACTTTCTGTCTTACACCACGGCGACCATTAGTATCCTTTTGGCAGTGGAAACGCAAGCCTGATAAAGGTGACCCGTACCGAACCCTACTGTATCATACCATTCTGTGGAAATGGGCCATTAATGACTCTCTATGCCATTGGTCACCAAATTCGGTTCTGGAGGGCTGGTCTCCCTGCAGGGTTTAGCTCCAACTTGCTTCAACACACCTGCGTGGATGTTTCAAGTATACTTAGTAAGACCTTGATAAGCTTGCTAAGGTGTGTTTGATCAGGGTTGGAGCTGAAACCTCTTGGACACCGGCCCTCCAGGAACAAGTTTGTTGACCCCTGCTCTATGCAATAAGCTTCTATTTAATAACCATGTGGGTCTCATACTTCGGGTGTACTCACACTAGGCACAGTTCCCTTGAACCAAGGACAGGCACTATCGTCCTCTCTTTGGCCCGCATTGACATTGAATTTTTACATTCTGTGAGCAGTCATGCTTGCATCATCAACGAGACTGTTTAAAAGAAAACAGGAAAAGAGTCACTCTCACTCAGAACAGTAGATTGCTTTAGGTACATTGTTGTGAATTTTTAAGTCGCTTGGGGCGCAGTTGGGACTCCCATTCATTGAAGAATACGTTATAAATCCATGTGGAACAATGCCTTAAAAGTGACGTCATTTCATTTCGCATTCACACTATATGTGTTCCAAGCCCAACCAAACCACACTCTGGCCTACCTCTTTCAACTGGGACAGGGCTGGATTAATGTCCAGAGCTCTCAAACGAGTTAAATGATCGAGGATATGGGGGTCAAGTCTATAGCCTAGTGTAATTACACCCTTAAAGTTGTTGCTGTCTTGCCTCAAGAGGCTTCCAATCCTAGATGGTTGAACTATAAAGCTCTAAGGCACAGGTGTCAAACTCAGTTCCAAAAGGGCCGCAGCTCTGCACAGTTTAGTTCCAACCCTAATTAAACACACCTGATTAAACTAATTGAGTCCTTCAGACTTGTTTGAAACCTACAGGTAAGTGTGTTGGAGCAGGGTTGGAACTAAACTGTGCAGGGCTTCGGCCCTCCAGGAATTGAGTTTGACACCCCTGCTCTAAGGGACTACCCAACGTTAATATGCAGTTCTTCCCTTACTATGTGACGAGACTAAACTTTGACCTATTGCAGTGGTAAGCAAGTTCTGTCCTGGATAGCCTCAATCCTGCAAAGCTTTGATTCAGCCTTTAAAAAAACTCACCTGACTGTAAGTTTTGAGTAGCACTCAGACCCGGATTGGCTTGATCAGGTGTGTATGTTTAGATTCTCTCCAGGACTGAACTTGCCCACCGTTGATCTAGGATCCTCATTTTGAGGCAAGTTGCTGTCTTTTTCATAGTAAAAGGTCACTTATTGGCTGGGATGCCTTTGGGAAGGTCAATGTGGCGCTGAGTGGGTGTTAGAATGAAGGCTGTGTTTCTACTGAAGCAAACCTCATAGACCTGAAATATTGCCATGTGCTGGCAGTGAACAGACAACAGCTTGGCTCAGTAGCCGACTTCCCTGTGAGCCATTCATCCAGTTCATCACCCAACTGTGTGGACAGACTCTGGCTTCGCCCCACACTTGAGATGTGCCACCATTGTAGTTCTAAAGCCTTGGGAATGTTGCACCACCCATGTGCAGTTGGATAACTGGGACTATTCTCTTTACGTTTAGACCGGACGCCAAAGTGCAGAGTTGGCCAAGGCGACATCTGCACACTTCTCTACTTACTCTGCATCTATGCTATACCATGTGCTTGTATTATTGATACTTTTGGCTCACAAAGCCTGTCTCGTCTTAGTAGCCAGAGATATGTTCATGGAGTGATGGTGCTTTACGTATTTTCCATTGCATCAACTCAATGACACCTTGAAAGAGAACATCATCAAGAGTTTCTTGAAAAGGTCTGAGATTCTACGTCTGGTTGACATACATGAGTATGCCTGTGTGACTTCACATTTTAAATCTAGGGTTTCTCTGACATGTGCTATGTTTCCAGTCACCTATTTTAAAGCTCATTTTGGAATATTGCATTAAAAAAAATGGACAAACCAGCGTTTCCAGCACATTGTAAATCATCTTTAATGTCGTTTTGCTCATTTCTGAAATACCTCAGCCAAAGTCTGTCATCACCGTGGTTCAGTATTATTATTATTTTATTGTTTGTTTGTATACTTTATTGTCCCTCAAGGGGAAACTTTCTGTAGACTCACACAGCACTTCAGCAGGTTCTGACACAATAACAATTTAAAAAATAAGTCAACATGCCAAAGAATTACATACACTATCGTTCAGTGTTCAATAGTCTGATTGACACTGGAATAAAAGAGTTCTTAAGCCTCTTCCGTTTCCAGCGGAAAGTTCTGTATCCACTTCCAGAAGGTAAAAGATCGTAAAATTTGATGAGCACATGCGATAGGTTACTTAAAATTCGTTTCGCTTCATTCAGATTGCATTGCTTGTAGAGTGTTTGTATACTAGTTGTCACGAAATGGGGAATGATCACAAAATGCTTAATAAATCCAAGTGCAGCAATTTATTATAACAAAGACTAAGGTTTCCAAAAGACAAAGGTTTCCAAACTTGAACAGAACTAAAGCAGGATGCAAATCTAGTCCAAACAAGAGAACAGGCAAAAATCCAAAAACGAGTAAATACAAAAACAGGGTAGGAGTGCTAAAGAGTGCTAACGAAAGCAAACACAAAACAGGAATCCAAGAATTATCAAAATACAAAAACTAGATGACCAGACAAACATACCAAACGTGAGGAGCTAACAAAATCCTAAGGCAACTGAAAAAAGAGGACAAGAGTGTCACGATGGGCTTTCAAAATACAAGAGATATCCAAATGCAGCAATAGAAGTTTTAATAATAAATAAGGGGCGAGGCCAGGTTCAAAAATCGAACAGAGACAAAAGTACAACCCAATAAACAAAAGTGTATCAAACAAAGTTAGAACAGGAATTCAAAAATATGATCATAATATAAAACAAAGTGAACAAACAAACAAACCAAAACGACGAGTCAGTGAGCAGACTAGGTACAGATAAGAGCCGGACAAAACAAACCAGAATCGGGTGAACAGGGTGCACGAGCAAACAGCAAAAATCCAAAGGCAAACTAAACACAACATAACAAGGCTAATAAAGACAACAATAATAATTAGACAATGACAGACAGCTGGAAACAATTAGTGATCACGTGAACTGCAAAGCAGGAACAAACCAAAACATAACTAGTGTCCAGAAAACCACAAGATGGCACTACAGCAGACATGACACAAGAGGGTTTATAAAGACAGGACTAAATTAACAAACACAAAACAGCTGTAACAACACAATCAGTAATACAAAGGATTATGGGAAATGAAGTGTAACTACCAAACAAACTAGTGCCCTCAAGTGTCCTAACTAGGGCACTGCAACAGGTGTGACACTAGTAAAAGTTTCAAATCCTATTAGTTTTAGAGCAGTTCTGATAATATTAAAAAAATTTTGATTTCAGATTTACAGAAAGATTGTCATACCATGTAGAGAGACCATACCTGATAACACTTTCAAACACAGCTTGATAAAATAAGTACATGATTTTCTTATCAACACCATAAAACCATAACCTTCGTAGAAAATACAGTCTTTGGTGAAGCTTTTCACAGATCCAGTTTACATGAGTGTCCCGTGTTAGAGACCTGTCTATGTGAATTCCCAAATACTTGTTTGACTGCGCCCGAGTGATTCCTTGATTATGTACAAACACAGGTAAATGCTCGACAACACACTTGGGATCAACGATTATTTCCTTTGTTTTTCTTGTATTTACTTTTAAAAGTTTTCATCACAGCACTCAACAAATGAATCAATTTGAGAAAAATAGACAGAAACATGATCTTGTTTGTTCAGCAAAATTAAAATTACCGTATCATCTGAATATTTAAAAATAAGATTCTATGAGTGCCTGCTCGAGCACTCATTAGTATATAGAGTAAATAAAAGTGATCAGCTCACACAACCCTGAGGGACACCACAACTACTATATTATTTGGCTATATATATTTGATATATATTTGATTGGCTGAGTTCGATTTGTTAAAAAAGATTATCACGTCTTGAGCATCTTTCTACGCTCTCAAGGAGTTTCTCACGCCTCCAAAAGCCACAGCATTGCGTTCATTACCTCAGTCTTCATCTTCTGAGGTGCAACTTATTTATTAGAGAAGAAAATACACCACAGTGGCTTCTTCAAACACACTAAACTACATTCTTCTGTTCAATATTTGCTGCCAGTTCATCAAGAAGTGACCGTTTTGCACTCATTTGATGGAAAGGCAAGGCAAGGAAACGCTGCTTTATTCCCAAATATTTAATGCAGTATTCCAGTTTTCTTCATAAATCAATCGCATCTTTGGATGGGAACACAGGAATAGAAGGTTCACTTCAACTACACTTAATTGTACAATGCAATCTGCAAGTACACTCTTTAAAACTGATTCCTGGAGGGCCGCAGCTCTGCACAGTTTTGCTCCAACTCCAATCAAACACAGCTGATGCAACTAATCAAGGTGTTCAAGACTACTAGAGACTATTAAGCAGGTGTGAGTCGGAGCTAGACTATGCAGAGCTGCGGCTCTCCAAGAATTGAGTTTGAGACCATTGCCTTGAAGGATCGTTTCAATCTCTGTCTATTTCTCCTCAGTTTGTTCCCTTCCGTGACTACATCGATCGCAGAGGAAATCACATCCTCAGCATGGCCCGTCTGGCCAAAGACGTTCTTGCGGAAATCCCAGATCAGTTCCTCCAGTACGTGCGAAGCAGAGGCATCAAACCTCAGCATTCAGCCCACTCCACCATTTCCAAACCTCCGGCGAGCCTCGTCCACCCGATCCACCATCTGCAGACGCAGATCTGAGCTGTTACACAAAACCGTACATGCTTTCTTTGGTTCACCGTCACTCTCAGGATCACACATGGCCTGTCTGAGTGAGACGCCGCCCTTCTGCACGCTGTCTTTCGGTATGTAGGGTGACGTTCGGGATACTTTACGCCCCGGCCCGGCGTGTTGAGGTTTCAGAAAGGGGTTTAGACTGTTTTAAAGTATCAAGTGGCCTATTCAGTCTGTCAAATATCAGATGTGACTCCACAGTCTCTTACATATACTGTACTTTCCGGAAAAAAGGTTGCACCTGACTATGAAATCGTAACAAAATTGCACAAAAGTCACATTTTATAGTCTTACTGAGAAATAATGTAAGATAAATATATATATATATATATATATTATTTAAAAATATTCTAAATGCATTTTAGTTCTACCTGCTTTGACATCCGTTGCATTATTTAAGTCAAAGCACGTTTTAAAGATAATAACAATACAATAAAAGACTTATATTCCGGAAAATACAGTGATCTTCTCGTGTCTGACGAACTTCAGCAGACGTTTACAATTGTAACGTTTAGGTTTTTTTTTACAAATGGATGTTTTTTTTGTACCTCATGAAACTCTGAGCTGCTTAACAATAGAATTTACTCGTTTTACTACATGACATTTGTATATAGAGCAAGAGAAAAACAGAAAAAGCATGAATACACCCTCGGAACTGAAGTGAGAGACATTTTCAGGCCTTGGTTTTCCTGATATTGTACAGTATTCAGTTGTTTTACTGTTTGGTTATGCCGTATTTTTGGTCAGTTGACTGCCTCAAAATCTTTAAAGAGTTTGTGCTCAGCTTTAGCGGCACTAGCACAGATATTTAACAGGAAAAGCCTTACTCTACGTTAAAGGAATTGATCACGCAAAATGGAAATTCTGTCTTCATTATAGCTTTCCAAAGCTGTTTGATTTGGGTTAATCGCATATTATTGCATATTTTTGACTAGTTAATTAAATGTTGAATTAGAATAATGGCATTCAGCAAATCAACAGAGGATGCATTTACACTGCAGATCTTGATGTTCAACTCTGAGCTTTTTTGATGATCTGCTAGCATCAACTTTTAACAGTGACTCGTGTCCGATTGTCTGCATTCACATTTTGCATTGGCGAAATGACCAGGAAAAAAACAGGCGCTGACTGACAGCTGATAATAAAAGAGCACTCTTTTCCCTATTCCTGTATTTAATCTGTTCGCAGGGTTTCATTTTTTAACAATTCTTTCGGTCTGTTTTACTATAGCTTATGACAGAAAATATCTCAATTTGGCCAAATCCTTTTAATCTAGGCCTTTTAAACTGGTTCTTAATCTACCAAGCAGACAGACAGTCTCATAAGATGTTAATATGAGGTTAGATTTAGGTCACTATAGCATCTAAGTACATTATTTTGACCCCCATTAACGACGTAAAGTGATGTTGATATTTGGTTGATTTTAGGTTGTGTTGGAAAGTGACCAAAATCCAATGTCGAGCCATCATCTTAAACCAACGTCATATCGACGACAAATACTGACATTTATTCATCAGGTATGGCAACCAAAATCCAACGTTTGATAGACGTCATAGTGGTAACATCCACCCAACGTCAAGCTGTAACATCATTAGACGTTGATATTTGGTTGTTTTTAGGTCGCGTTGAAAAGTGACCAAAATGCAGAGTCTGTCCAATGTTGGACATTGACCTTGGTCTGGCGTTTTGTTCTGACATCAACCCGATTTTCATTTCCATGAATGCAACATCTCACAGCGTTGGGGTACAACGTCAATCTGACGTCATGTTGACGTCCTGTGCCTGCTTTCTAATGTCCATAGTGTGATTTATGCAGGTGATGTATCCAACAGTTTTATATAGTTTATATTGTTTATGTGGCAGACGTTGCACTCTTTCTCCTTTTCTCTCTCGTTAACACGTTTAAATATGTGTGCTACATGACAGCATAAAAGCTTTTTTAGTCCTTGTGTATGAGATTTAGGGCTCTATTTTAATGATCTAGGCGCAAAGTCTAAAGCAAAGGTCGCAAAAGCTTGAAGGACATGTCTGAATCCCCTTTTGCTATTTTAAGGATGGATAAATACGCTCTGCACCCGGCGCATGGTCTAACAGGGTTGTGTTTATTCTCTCAATGAGTTCTAGATGTGTTTTGAGCATTAGGTGCATTAACCCAACTAGAGTCTCGTCTCTCATTCTCTTTAAGAGTCAGTTGTGTCGCGCCATAGCGCATTTGCTATTTACATGTCGGACTTTATAAGTGTAAAAACAGAACCCTTCACAAGCGAGAAAACAGCATCTGCAGCGCGAGGATAAAGAACGAGCCTCCTCCATTCAGCCTCTTTACTTTCTCTTTACTTTACTCTTTACTCCTTTACTTGGAGTAAAGAGTAAAAGAGGAAAGGGTGGAAACTTACTTCACTGAAGACATCCATTAGCCCACATATTTAATTTAGTTTGTTAAGAGCAAAGATTTGCTTCAGAACTATCTCTAAATTCAGCTCTAATCTCCAGCAAAGGAATAAATGAACGATAAAAATGAAGTGTGGTCAAAACGGAGTTATATCCAAACACACGTCTCTGGATGCCGATGTCTCTGAATCACCACAGGTGGACGAATCTAAACCAGTTTTTATTAACATAAATATAAATATGCATATAATTAATAATACAGTTGAATAATTTAGTTGGTCAATGGCGTGGGATATTTCAGTTCCTCAAAATAGCTAACTTTATAGACCAGCACACACATGAGTCCACAAAGTGGCGCAAATGGATTTGCTGTTTAAACAACGTGACACAAAATGGGAAAATTTGAGTTGTGCTGGTCAGAAAATAGCAACAAATCACGCCAAACACGTCTTGTGCCTTATAGGGTATATGCAGAGTGTTTCTTCCCATACTGATAAACTTTGGTTAATGTGACTTTTTTTCCGGTTCCTTTTAAAGCATCGATGTTGCACTGCAATTAAAATACAATCAGTTAAACAGACTTTGGCATTCATTTAGTTGCTCAAACGTACAATGAGATGAATAGCCGTTTGCTCGCACGTGTCCGTCAGAATCGGCAGGTTAGCGCAAAAGCTCCATTAAATATTCACCTTATTCTCAGCTGGCGAGTGGGCGCTGCCATTTGAATCTTTTTGTCTCGCGACTTCCGGTCACATTCACTTCCATTCATTTTTTGACGTTAACAACTGCTCGTTACGCTGCTTGATGTTGCAATTTAATGTTTTCTTATTATAATATGCTACTTGGTCTGTGTAGTCATGCAAACATTTGTTTGTTGAGCAAGTAGTTTGGCCATTTTCTGCCGTTTATTATTCCTAGTCATTTCTCCCATAGGCGACTGAATCGGAAGTTCTAAGACAATCGCGAAAACAGGCGCACTTCCGCATTTTAGAATAAGGTCAATACTGGGGGTAAAATAAATGCTCATATTATAAAGACACAACAGGGGGAAATGTAGTTTAATGCAGGGCTTCTTGTACAATCTGAGCCCACTTTATATTAGATATCACTCAGCCAGTGGAGATTGCTTATTTTTAAAGAAAACACACCTTAAACATGCCGACTTTGCAATGTCATACAGTACACCGGAAGTGCTTAAACCCAGGTTACTGGCAAATTAAAAGTCCTTCAGCATACTTCGGCATACACCCTGTATGATAGGGCCCTTAAGGTTTGGGACTCATGCTGAAGTCTCTTCTGAAATGAAAGCATCAGAGTTGACGCCATTCCCTACAGTTTTTAATGATGCGCGACTTGCATTGAAACTTTAATCTACCGGCTTACACTGCAGACACAAACACACTGATCTGATTCATATCGGTTCACATCCACATATGAACAAGGCCTGAATCTCATCTGAGTAAATCGGGATCCATGTGGGGGGTTTTTCCTGCGTACATGGGCCATATCCCATCTGTGCCACATGCGAGAAAAAGAAAATCCAAAGTGAGTCACTTGAACCATGCAGTGTAAATGCAGTAGCATCTGATGAATGGCTGCTTTTTGAAACTTTACAGCTCTAGTGTCCGTTTACGTTGTGCCAAATGCGTCTTTTTCAATGGAAAGGGAACATCAAATGCAGCAAACGGCAGAATTTTCAGCTTTTTGGGTGATCGATTGCTGTAAAGACAGAACTGTAGCTACTCTCAATATCTACATCCAAGCACAGAAATGCAAGCACAGCCTCATACTGAAGTAGCAGAGATGCTTTCTAGCATGCACCACACACTAATGGCCTGTTGTGTTAGCGTTTGTAGCATTAGTCTTAACTGCATGCCGTTTTGAAGTACACGCTATTTCTTCATTGGGTCATTTTACAATGACGGTGCCGAACGGATATTAAAATCCAATCAAAGTGCAGCGTATGTTTAAGCAGATTTGAATAATTGAGCTTAAACTTGTATAAATAATGCAAAACATTTCCTGATTATTAGAAATGATTAGATAAATGATTGATTATATCTGTTGAAAACTGAGTAATAATAAAATTCACGCTTGTGTCTTGATGATAAATGCATTTCACTGTTTATATTTAATATTAATCTGAAGCTAAAAGACTTTACATTTACATGATATGTCTAATGTAGAACCGACGAGCGAGAAATTGCATCCCGATTGTAAAACGACCCAATTAAACAGCATTAAAAGAGAGTCTCGCATGGATCATCCAGACCGAAAATGCGCATAAAAGCATTGAGAGACACCTGGTCAGACTTTTAGCAAGCTAGAGACACGACTAAAAGTGGCTTTAGAGGTCGCGGAGAGCTCAGATGTGCTTCATATTTCAGCAGGAAGCCACACAAGCAAGCCTTTACCCCAGTAAAAAAACAACAACTTAAGCACGGGCACAGAGCGCTGACTTCATTTATTTAACATGACAGTGTGTCAGCTTCAAACTCACACCCACACACACTGCCTCTGTGCTGTATTATCTATATAAATCATGCAGAAAACATGCATCAAACTTTAACCACGTATGAAATGGGAAGGTTTCTTCCGCAAGTGTTATCTTCTCCCATATGGCCAGGCATTGTGACTGTAGTCTTCCTCATTTATGGTGGAATTCAGCTGAAAGTGCCTCTATTATGCCGTCCCTATTTCTCCTGCAGTACGTTTACATCCATCCGAGGTATAAAAACCCCCCACTAATGTTCCCTTTGAGTCTGAAATGAGGGATTTAGTTTCTCTAAAGCCTTCTTTAGATAAGTGGAGGAGGTAGGATGAGAAATGTAGGATTTAAATGGGCAGTTCACGCAGAAAATGAACATTTGCTCACTAGTTACTCTTTCTCAGGTGGTTTTAAACCTTTATGAGTTTCTTTCTTTGGTTGTACACAAAAAGAAGATATTTTGAGGAATGCTGAAGACTACCTTCAAAATATCGTTTGTCTTCGGCAGAAGTAGAAAAAAAAAACAAGGGAGAGCAAATGATGATAGAACTTTTGGGTTTGGAGTGAACTATCCCTTTAAATTCAATTTCAAGAGTCCACTCTTAGCTGATGATTGATTATAAAGCTTGTTTGGCATCTCATAAGATCCTTGAGCCCGGGGCTCCCTCCCGTTTGCAGGGCGAGAGGGGAGTTTGAGCTCAGGTAGATCTGGAGAACTCCCATGCTGTAGTTGCTCATGAACAGATAGTGATCGCTCCTTAGAGATAACTACTTACTAGGAGCATGTCTAAGGTGCTGATTTGGATTAGTCAATTAACTTAAGTTGCATGCTTTTGGACGGTGGGAGGAAACCGGGGAACCCGGGAGAAACCCACGTGAGCACGGGGAGAACGTGTAAACTTTGCACAGAAACGTGTACTGGGTTGGTTAGGACTAGAACCAGTGACGTTCTTGCTGTGAGGCAACAGTGATAACCACTGGGCCACCGTGCCACCCATCTAGGAAAGGAGGAGGAGTAGGGGTGGAAGGGGGGGTTCTTCAAAACAAAGATGGCTGTGATATGGAACTGAGGGTATTTATAGTGACTTAGGAATCGTCTGATTCGTGGATCATAAATTGGATAATGCGGGACCAGCTGCAAGCAATCATAAACACGTGATCGTCTCGACATTAGTTTAATAATAAACTTCACATAGAAACTCAAATGCTTGCATACACAAGACATAACTTGTCCCAGGGATGGTTCTTTGTCTATTTCCACTGTCATGTTTGTCCAAAGACTGTAGAATACAGAATATATTTAACTTTTTTTTTCTTTTTAAAAAAATATTATTTATTTATTGAACAGAACAACAGTGGTACTGGAATCTCGTAACAACAAGTACAGCAGTGATGCTCCAACAAAAGTAAAAGGAGATTATAAAACTAATTTAGGGTGCTTTCACATCTGTAGTTCGCTTCATTTGGTCCGGACCAAGGGTAATACGTGATACATTGCTGCATTTTCTGCCGTCTTTGGGTGGTTTTCACACCACACTGCTGGCTTTGGTCCGAACCAGTTGAAACAAACCAAAATGC